CTGTTGGTGGGATATACATTACATGACAATTGATAGGAGATAGATGAAAGCTTAGCAGAATTAATTAGGATAACGAACAATGCATTTCAACAAATTCCTATGAGGCCCTTCTGTTGATGAGATTTGAATTAAAACTAGTTCAAAGTTTACATGTCTACACCTTAATAGTAGAGGCGGCTCAATAGTATTGGAGGCCTAAAGCCAAGACGTTATAAGAGGCCTTAAACTTATTTAATAATTTTAGATATTGTTGTTGAAGTTTTTTTCTTTCATTTTTACTTTTTGAGATGCAATTTCATCTTGACGGTGTAACCAACTCCTTTAATCTTTGTTGAAATATTACTAATTTTTGATAAGATTTTCTTAAGTTTAATTTTGAATTTATTCTTTTCCCATGACCGTCAACATAACTTACTATACAACATTGCCTCCCAAAGTAACAATCAAGTAGATTTTTGTATTTACAAAGGTGATATATATTTTATGATGTAATTAGCTTGAAGCGTGCCAACAGAGATCTTGAAAGAAAATATCTTACAAAGTTAGAATCATAAATAAAATTTATTCAAGTTGTAGTAAGAACAACTAGAAAGTAACTGCAAATTTAATTGCCTTTCACTTTCATTTGAATTTTCTCAAGTAACTCTGATAAAAGACAACATAAAATATAAAACTATGTTATCAACGATTGGTGACAAGGTAGCAAAAGATGGTTGAAAAAATTTCTTATCACTATTTAATAAATACAATTAATATTTAAATTACATATAAAAAGAGCATTATTTAGGGCCACTAGTTTTGTGAGGCCTAAAGCGACAACTTTATTGGCTTGGGGGTTAAGCCGCCTCTCTTAGTGTAACTGTGCCATTTAAACGAGAGAAATTTTCATAAAGTACTATCTTTTAGTGGTAATTAACTACCTATAGATACCATTTGCTATATTACGAATCGTAGATACGTTTTTTGTTGTTATGAGATCTATTAGATGTATTTAAGCTACTGTATTCATGAATACAGTAGCAAAAATAGGCGTGAATCAGGAAAGTCCAGCTATTCAGTTGTTATATTCGAGTGTATTCGACTATATTCATAGCGTGAAACGTAGGATTACAGCTGGACAAATTATTGTATTCGACTGTATTCACGCGCGTGAAACATGAGATTACACTGTTTTTAAACGGAAAGTGAATCAATTAACATAATAGACTCCTAATATAACTCAACAAACTCAATTATAACAAAATTTGTATTTTCAATTATAAAAAAGATTCTCAACCGAAAAATACCCCAAAAACATCGCAATCTTCAGAAAAATTCTATAATACTTCTGAATACATAAATTATATTAATTAAAAAAAAACATATGAATACATTCATGGCATATAGCGAGACAGTGAATACAATGAAATACATAGAATACATCAGGATACATTGAAATACAATTAAAAAAAAGACAGTAAATATAATGAAATACATGGAATACAACGAGATACATTGAATTACAATGAATAAAAAGACAATGAATACAATGAAATATATGACAATACAACGTGATACATTGAAAATATATTGAAATATATTAACAGAAATTCAAGTTGATCAGCCTTAAACTCCGTCGTCTTTGTTAACCCTAATTTCCGGCGAATCCGCCGTCGAGCAAAAACCCTGAATTTCATTGTTCCCACGTATCATGTACAGTAGCCGAGCAAAAATCATGGCAAGACGTTGCGTATTGTTTTCGAGGATTCGTCTCTCTACCAGCGATGGACTAGTTCTTCAACTTCTGTGCTTTGCATTATCTTTGACTGCCCCTCCTTTTGTGGTCAGACTAATTTGGTTGAACTTGTGGGTTTTTCTGGGTCTTGCTATTGTAGAAGTCTTCTAAGATTGTCTTTTTTCTTTTCCTTTCCTATTAAAGTTACAGCCAAAAATAAAAATGGGGAGTTGGAGGAATTTGCTGGGAAGTGTGAAGAAGAAATTGTGGGAGGAATTGTGGAGAATTTTGGTCTTTCAGAGAAGAAACTTATGAATATAGGTGAGAATTTTGATCTGAGAATGACGTGTATCAAATTAGAGAGAGATAGAATGTGGAGTGAGAAGTTTACATCAAATACAGTAATTATGTGAGAGAAAAATCTGAAAAATGAGAGAAAAAGATAATAAATAGCGTATATAGTGGCTTGGAAGTAGGAAATACCCAAAATTAGATATTTACTATAGGATACGTTGGAATTAAAAAAGTTTGAACACTAGAATAGCTTTAAAATCTTTTAAACGTTGAATAATCAGCAAAAATGAGCGGAGACAGACGACGCGTAGGCCCATATTGTGTAACCGACTAACCGTCCATATGAGTATAAGTTTTAAACTCATATTTTTAAAAAAACATTGATCTTTGAATTTATTAAGTTGAAATTTTGGATTGTCTTTCAAACTTGAGATTTATTGTTTTGAGTTATAGACCAAAAATTCATGTTATATGACAGTCTTGCTATTTGAAAAGCTATACAGTTTTTTCCTACCATTTTATAATTTCAAGATATATATACCTTTTTATTACCAAAAAAAAAAGATCGAGCAATTTATTAGAGCCCGTTTGGGCATAAGAACTTTTTCACTTCATTTTGAAAAACTTTTATTTTTTTTTCGAAATCAGTATTTGGCCATAAAATTTTCCATTTTCGCTTGAAGATGAATTTTGAAATTTTTCGACAATTTGAATAACTCCAAAAAGTTATTTTTCAAAATTTTAACTCACATCGCACACAAAACTTCAAAAATAACCCAAAATTATATTCACGTCCAAATACAACTCTAATTTTTAAATATTATTTTCACTTAATTTTTTTGTTTTTTCACTTTTTTTTTAGAATTTTACAATTTCTATGTCCAAACGCCCACTAAAATTTCCGAAGGACGGAGTAAGTTGAGTTCAAAACTTAACTCAATTCACGACAAAGAGTATCTTCAGCCACGCGCCACAGTTCCACATGTCAGCTAACTCTCGGCCTCCATAGTTTCAAGTTTCAACTGAGTCGTGTCGTACGCTTTGTACTTTCCGTCAGTCTTAAACAGAAAGCGCATTATCCATGCACTGCTCCTGCGCGTGATTATTAATCAGATACTTAGATTTTTTCTTTCAAGATAATGGATGAGGTCAGTTAAAGAAGCTTTTAGAGTTGAAGACCTTTCTATCGTAAGTTGGGCATCTCCCACATTTGCCTCGTTTTTAGTTCCTAAAATGATGATTTCCCCATTTTTAAAATAACTTATTCCAGTTATTCTCTTATTTTATTCCCAAACTTTTTTATATTCTTTCATCTTTTATATATTATATTATTATCTTTCATTTTAATTTCATTTTTTAATTTCAATTAAACAAATTTCATCTTTTATTTTTAATTATTTGTAATTTCCATTAAAATAATTTTATAAAATTTTAAATAATATAATTTGTAAGCAATTATTATAGATTAACTAATAATTCAAATAAAAGTGAAATCATTGCAACATCTAATATTTTATATTCGCACCTTTCAATTTTAGCAACATCTAATATTTTATATTTGCACCATTCATTTTTTGAGATAATTATATATTTTTTGTACAATTATAACTTATAAGAAAATTAACCTACTATTTTACATAAAAATAATAAATGCACAAAAATTAATTTATCAAAATTATACACCAAAGTTAAGATGTAAAATTAATATTATAAAGACATTACATAAACATAATTAGGTATATATAAAGAGATAAATTAAAAGATTAAATAATAAAATAATAATAAAAAAGTGATAAATAGTAATGGGGGAAATGAATAGTGTACCCCATATTTGAGGGAACACTATTCATCCCCTATTTTGGGGACAAAATTACTCCAAAAATTGCCCCCATTACAGAGAATTGAGGTAAGGTTGGAGATGGCCTAAAGATGTCCTTTCTCACCTTCTAAAATTATACTCCATTTTAGTTGTTATGGTACCAAAAATAAGTGATTCAAAATATTTATTATTTTAAAAAAATAAAGAAAATATTAATTATATTTTTCTATTGTGTCCTTAGTATTAGTTATTTTTGAAAGTAAAGAATAATGATTACATAGCATAGAAAACCTAAATGTGAATATAGAACTAAGGTAGTCTAAAGGGCAGGAGCATATCCAAGATTCAAAGTCTATGAGTTCAACTTTAAGATTTTTAATATATTTTTAAAGCTATGAGTTCAGATTTACTATTTATTTCAACTTTAACGAATTTTTGCATATAATTTTATACCCAACGTCAATAGTTTTGGGTTCAATTGAACCCAATAATTTTACCTTACGTCCGCCCCTGCTGAAGGGCAGTCTGTTGCAAGACATCTCGCGTTCACGCAGGGTTCGGAGAGGGCCACACCCCAAGGGTTATATGATGTAGACAATCTAACCTAATGTAAGAATAAATAACTGTTTCCACAATTCGAACCCGCAATATATAGATCACTCGAAGACAACTTTAACATTGCTCTAAGGCTCCCATCAAAATAAGGGTATAGACTATAGTAGTGTGAAATATAAGATAAGTTGCATGTTGTTGCAGGTTAAAATACACTAATAATAGGAAAAAATTATATTGTTAAGTGTACATGAGTTAAATCCCAATAATAATATTACTAACCTGAATTAGGGGTCAGTATAAAGAAATACTCACTTGTAAAATAATAGAGAGGGATAACCAACCACGTCTGTGGTGTAGTGGTAAGTATTCCTTTATCTTTAACCAAATATCTTGGATTCGAGACTTGGATATGAAGTCTACCTTTGTATGTGAGCGCTTTACCCCAAATATAAAACTTTTCGGCGCGAATCTAAATTTAGTCAGCCCCAATGGGGTGCGGGACACTGGGCGAGAAAAAAAAAAAGGTACCCCAACAAGCACGGAAGTGAGTAAAGGGGGAGGGGCACAGAGAATCTAGAAAATGTGCTACAAATACCTATGTGTCTTTCATTCACTTCCTCAAAAGCCCAGAAAATCTTTTAATATTATTATTCTTTCAGATTAGATACGCTGTTATATAACTATCAAATATAGCCAGCCAATTGGGTAAAGAAATGATTGAAGGTGAAAGAAAAAGTATATGAGAATAACAAATAGACCACATGTTGACATTTTTTAAGTCATTGCAAAGACTTCATTTTTCTGTAGAGAGAGAAAAAGAAAGAGAGAGAGAGGAATAGAGAGATCTTAATCTTATCTGGGATCTCTCTTACATGTAGCTTTCTTCTATTGATCAGTCGAAGGGTACTTGTTTTTTCATATGTTTTTTTTTTTTTAAATTGAATTCTTGGTTGTGGATATGATGTTTTTGTTTTAAGGTTTCTCGATCAGTGACAGCACAAAGGTTGTTGGGAGGAATTAGCAGAAAATTTTTGAGGTAATTCTTTACTTCTGTCAGTTCTTCTATGTTGTTTAATTTTTTATTTTCTTTTTGCTGTTTTGAGCTTCCAGTTGGATTTGTTCTATATGTTTTGATTACTAAAAAGGAAGAAAATATAAGAGAATTGGAAAATTTGGAGTGGAAATTTTCTGCTAATATTTCATACATTTGTTGAGTAAAATTGAACAAGGAATTTTTTTTTTCATGAAATATAAGGAATTAATTTGTTTGACCAAAGTCAAGATAGGCCATAGATTGCGTTGTCCTCATTTCCAGAAATTGACTTGAAAATTTAGTAATTTTATTGTTATTTACTCTATTTTTTAGGTTACCGTATTAGAATTACTATAGACAGTTACCTTATAGGACATCTCAACCTGGTGTAAAAAATGTGTACACTGTTAAAACTCTTTCCTTTTTAACCCCTCTTTTTCCTGTCAATTTTTTACTTCTTATTGATATACTTTGCGGTGATAGAACCCTTGTTACATTAGCTAGAAATATTATCAATACAATGCAAAAAAATTGTCTTGCAACAATGGTAAAGTTGTCTTGTGTGACATATAGATCACAGGTTTGAGCCGTAGAATCATGCTTGCATTAGGGTGAGCTGTCTATATCACACCCCCTTGGGGGGGGCGTCCTTCTGTGGATCCTGCATCAATGCGGGATGTTTCGTGCACCGAGATGTCTTTTTTTATAATGCAGATAAGTGCTGATAAAATTGGGAATTTTTTCAAGCAAGTATACTGGCTCATTGAACTGAACTAAATTGGATTGTCTGCTTTCTTTATTGAGCTTGTCACTGTCATAATCTCTCCGGAAAATATGTTCTTGATTTTTATGGTCTAATTTAGAGTTCTTTAGTGTTTTTCTTGGTGTTTAATCATTTTATTACTCGAATCATATTTTTTCCACTCCTTGTATGAGTGCAGGAATGGGAACTAAAATACAATGCAAGACATATTTGCCAGGATTTTGCTCCATGAGTGATCTAAATAGCAACGGAACTAACATCCCATGGCTCGTAAATCATGAAAACAAGTCAAGGAAAAGAAATCAGTGCACTGACTCGTTTTTGTCGCCGCAACCTATTGATGGATATTTTGAATGTGACAAAGAAAAAGTGAGGCAGACAATTTTGAAGCATGAGATAGTTTTCAGGCATCAGGTATTCAGACTCTTAATCATGTTCTCGCTCAAATTGTTTCATTTTCTATGAAGGGCTAACATAAAGAGATCATTTTTTCAACATTTTATATGCTGTAATGTGGTTTACTGATGCAGCTCCAAGAACTCCACCGGCTTTATAGAAGACAAAGGGATCTAATGAATGAACATCAAAGGAAAGAAATGCTTAACCATCCAATGAAGACATTCCAGTCAATTCCTTCATCGTCTCATTTTCCTTCATTGGATTCTATAGCTGGTCAGCTATCGGCCACAGACACTGCTAAGAATCAATCTTCTTTTGATTTTATGGAGAACGATAGTAGGTCGAGTCATTTCTCCTCCCAGCTCACTAAAAGTTCAAAGGAATGTGAATCTCACCAGCCTAGTAGCAGTTTGTTCCAAAGGAAAATGTTTGACTCTAGATTTGTAGTTGATAGGAGCGTAAATAACGAATGGGTATTGCCCTGCATTCAAGGGAACCCTGTTGAGGGAACTAATAAGATGCCCCGAAGTAGAGATGCAAAGACACCTATTGCCAGCGCTTTAGAATTTCATTCTGATGCTGATCTTAACAGAGCTAGTTCCTTAAAAGGAACTGATGAACTAGCTGACTTGAATAAACCTTTACCACTTGAAGAAGCTTCTCCGTTGGTGCCGGATATCAATATAAATAGCATTACTTGCCTCGATGATGACATCTATGACGGGGGGAAATTCTCTCCGAAGTCACTCAAGGAAAGGATTGGTGGAATTTTCCTCAACCACCCGCCTCACAAAAATGGAGAAGAGCAGTTAACTTCTAAACTAAATGCTGGTAAGATTACTTTCATGATGTAAACCCTTCTTTTCACTTTTCAACTTTATTAGTAGGCAGCCGTGAAACGTATTAATTGTCACGGTTGGTTTTTACTTTCCATTTCTCATTTTATATAGTAGTTTGACTAGACAAGGAATTTTAAGTATTAATTTGACGTATACATTACATGAGTGGTAGTGGAACAAAATATTCAATAATGGTTGAGAATTTATCTTCGCAGAAAAAACTTCACATCGATGTTCAAATTAGCAAAAGTTGTGAAAATTGTATAGAGCAACATTACTAATGGAATGGTGTCAAAACATTTTTGGTCCCAAAATACCGAAGAGGTGTTAAATAATTGGAACAAATGGAGTAGTAGTTTAGGCAATCCTGTGATATACAGTTGCCAGACCTATTTTTTTGCTTACTTCCATGTACTTCAGAATGTTATCCATCTTATCCCACTCAAACGCCATTATATGCCTTATATGCAGTGTGTCGACTACCTGATTTAAAGGGCAGAAAAGATTTGTTGATAAGTGAGTATGCCTCGTTTAAAGGGCAGAAAAGTTCTGTTGATAAGTGAGAATGCAGCAATTTTAGTTTTTATTTGAACTGCTGTGTTTGATGTTAATATCTTTCTATTGCCACATATTTTGATCTCATTGCTACTTCTTGTTTCAGAGAAAAAGCAACGTGATAACGAATCTTCTGGAAGACTTGAAACTGCTGAAATTTTACCTAAAGCTTTTCAGTCACCGCAAGGTCATCAACTTTTCAGGCACTCTCTCTTTAAGGAAACCAAGACAGAACACCAGAGGAAGAAAACAATTTTTGGTGTAGAAATTCATGAAGAAAATCAAATGCAATCTGCTAGCTGTTCCAATGTCCAGAATGCCACTCATAAATCTCCACCACTTTCTCAGAGTTATACTAAACTCCTGCGAAACGTTGCGTCTTGTCAAAACAACATGCATATGAGGATTGACAGGGAAACTTCCTGTGTGTCTCGAACTGAAGCGTCTGGAAAAGCGCCGGTATCTGGAGATTGTCAAAGGAAGCAGGAAAATTCCCGAGAGACATTGCCTTGGTTAGTGGTGAAATCACAAAAAGGCGTAGAGCACACTAAAGGGAGGGAAAATTGTTATCACTTAAATCTGGACTCCTTGCAGAATAATTCTCAGCTGTTTTTCAGACAAGAAGACACAGCTGTCAATTCCTCTCAAATTATAGATCAGAGGCAGGGATCCATATCATCGAGATCTATTTTTGAAGTTAGTGACAGCACTAAAATAAGGACAATTTTTGGTGTTCCAATTTTCAGTGCCCCCACGGACTCGCATGCAGAAAGTGGGCTCTCAAACACCGCTTTTCCTAATGTTGACAATGTTACTGCCACGAAAATTTCAGGAGACGAGATTGTTTCTAGAAGTCAGGTGGAAGCCAAGGATTTTCTTCAAGAAAAGGGACTAAATGGTTGCATTTCTAGTCTAAGGCATCAAATTGATTTGAACTTGTCTTTAGATGAAGAAGAGGCTCCATCTGCACCTTCTCTTCCTCGGGCTGTGGTGAGGATTGCAACCACTGAGATAGATTTAGAGGCTCCAGCAATTCTTGAATATGAAGCGGAATGTGGGGAATCTAAACATACATTAGAAGAATCTAATAAATCGAATGAAGCCGCCATGAGGCTTGCTGCTGAGTCTATAATCTCCATCTCAATGTCCGGTGCAAATGGAGAAATGAATGATGCGTTGCAAACTGAAACTAGCGACTCCCTCAAATGGTTTGCTGAGTTGGTCTCCTCTCACTGTTGTGTTCAACAAGAATCCATTGCTACAGAGATTTGCTCAGGTACAGCATCTGAGTTTGATGAGGAATCCATTCCCATTGGCTTTGATTACTTTGAGTTTATGACACTGAAGCTGGAAGATATGAAGGAAGAAGAGTATTCCTATAAAATGCCGACATTGGAGAGCCAAAACAACGAAGAAACAGTTGCCATTACCTTACCAAAACGGCCTCGAAGAGGGCAAGGAAAAAGGGGAAGGCAACGGAAAGATTTTCAGAGGGACGTTCTTCCTGGTCTTATTTCCCTATCTAGGTATGAGGTGAACAAGGATATTTTGAAATTCGAAGAACTGTTTAAAGCAAGTGGATCCTCTTGGCAGTCGACCATGTCACATAGGAAAACTGGCAAGAGTGGTAGGGGAAGGAAGCGTTTAGCAAATGCCGATCCCTCCCCAACAATTCCTGCAGATTGCCCACCTCCAGTAAACCAGCCTTGTTCTGGTGAGCTGGGGCTTGAGGAAAAAAGCCTAACCGGTTGGGGAAAAAGAACGAGGCGCTTGCCAAGGCAGAGATATCTAAACGGTAATCTTGCTCTTCTTATGAAGCAATGTTAATGTGTGGATTAAGTGCACATCACGGTTCAAACCCCAGACAAAGAGCGAGCCTGATATTTTAGTAGAAAAGGGTTTTGAGTTTCAATTCTGTTCTAACCGGCCCTCGAGGATTTTTCAGTTATCTCAAAATAATGTTGAGGAGGGGGTTTGTGGTGTGGAATGAGCACCAAGGTTCTTGCAGCTTCCCTAAAGGGATCTCATGACACCATTAGAGCTTATTTTTGTACATTTCTGTGTAAAACTTAAATGTCACTTTCCCTGCTTCCATTACACTCTTGTAAGAGCTTATTAATAATGCTACTTTTTTTTCCCCTTAAAGTGATTAATCTAATTTGAAATGAAATGCAGGTTGGTGGCCATGTTGGGTGGAATCTCCTTTCATATTCTTCTTTTTCCTAAATTCATGTTTTTTATTTGTTACGTGAGGTTTAGAAGATGTTATATTTTTCCTGATTGCCTGAAATGAAAGATTGAAACTTCATGCTTTTTTGAACGTACTTTCCGTTCTATAGATGGTCACATGAAAAGATACATTTCAACCGGTCTAGCAAAGAGGTGGAGCGAAGATTTTGAGTTTATGATTTATGAATTCAAGAAAAAGCAGCTTATTGGGTTTATTATATATATTAACACGAATACAGGTCAGCAAAAGACATGCTTGAATTTATAGGCGAATTCAGAATTTAAAGTTTATGGATTCCTTCAATGATCTCAAATTTATAGACAATAACAACTTAGTTCACAGTCTGCACGAAAGATGCAAACTTGATTATAGATATGCTCAAGCATAAAACACAAGAACCAAAATTAGAAAAAACTTATATATTAGGAACCAATTTTCTTTTTTCTGTCTATGTCACTAATTGTATCTTAAACCATCACTTTTGTCAATTAATGATCTAACGACCCCCAACATTTTCTAAATAATATTAATCACATTTTTCATCGATGACTCTGGCATACCTGCCAATTAATAGTGTTGTTTTGATTTAACTTAAAAATTACTCCATCTCTCCCAACATGTATGACACTATCTTAATTTCGAGATGTTCCAAAATGTATGACTCTATTATTGTAATAGTATAATGTCACATAACTTTCGCAAAATTTTATATTAATCAAATATTTGCAACAAAATCAAATTTTAATACAGGTACAAAATTTTTTCCTTTATACTATCTATTACTTAATTTTTTTTTTTGCCCGCCAATTATACAATATACTAGTAAAGAGTTTCCCCCGTTGGCGGGAGGCATTTGCATCTATACTCGTTTTTTGGGTCACATTTTAACTTGTGCCCGCTTTGCAAAAAAAATTGTAAGTGTACCCACTTTTTCGCATAACTTCAGCATACGGGGCTGAAGTAGCAAAGACAATCACGCAAAACTTCAGCATTCTAGTAGATGGGACTGAAGTAGCAAGTGTGCTGAAGTTTTTGTTTTTGTAACTGGCGAACTTTAGCTCTAGAGCTGAAGTTTTTGTTTTGTAACTGACGAACTTCAGCTCTAGAGCTGAAGTTTTTGTTTTGTAACTGGCGAACTTCAGCTCTAGAGTCTTCTTCCCTTCATAATGATACTGTCACGAAAACATGAAAATAGCTGCTTTACTGTCACATAAAGCATTCAATAGCAAGGATACCTCATCTTATAACTCTCTAATCGGACCAATTATTTAGATGATTAGTTCAACAACTAAACCATCCAAAGGAACTATTAATAGATATTTGATAAAGCAAGAAACTTTTTAACAATTTACATAAACCAATATGCTGTTGCTAATGCCATGCATTATCAAATAGGATCTGTTGCTTCGTCATTTAACAGATCATCTATTGCCACCATTCAATCAAGCAAGGACCTTTAGTCACGGACTTCAAAAAGAGGTTGAGGGCGGATATAACTTTGAGGAGGAGAAGGGAGAGGAGAAATGAGCCGAAGTTATTTAAAAAGTGGGTACAAGTTAAAAGTTTTTAAAAAAATCGGTATAGATTAACTGGGGGGACCAAATAGGGCGCCCCGTGCAATTTTTACTTTCTTCATTTATACATTTGCATATTTATTCATTCATTGTTGACCTATTCACATAAATTCACATCTCATCTGAGATTAAATAAAATAATATCTAACTTAGGGGTCGTTTGGTTGGAATACGGCTTATGTCGGTATAAGTTATGCTGGGGTTAGTTATGATGAGATTGTTGTTTATTCACTGTTTGGTATGTTGTATTAAGAATGACAATTGCATAATTTCTAAGAAGAAGATATAAGTTATATCGGTGCTAATTACCCCACCCTCTATAAGGTATAAGTTATCCTGGTGTTAAAATTAACACTGGGAAAACTTATACCTAATTTGCTAACCAAACAAAGTATTAAGATGGTATTACATTTTTATACCACCCCTATACCTTCTTATACCTCTTACCAAACGACCCCTTAGTATAATGATACAACTTTTGCAACATTAAACTTATATTAACCGAACGGTCCTTAAAAAAAAGTATAGAGTGATTCTGACATATTTAGTAGAAAATATTTCCTTCCACTCAGAGAATAAAACTGGCAAGGTTATTGTTTTTTTTCCTTTAGTTTTCCTTCTTCACCATAATTTCGTAAAATGAACCTAATTTATTTTTTCACTTAATCCATGACTGACTTTGAAAACATACATGAAATAAATTAAGTGGTCGGAAATTTTATTACATATATGTTCTCATATTTAAACACATCATTTTTTTGTTGACATATGATCTGACACTGCCATTTTTTTAAAAAGCCAAATACTTGATACTAATATATTTTCACACACTGTAATATTGTTGGAATTGAATTATAGCGAGTGTGAGGTATCTCAAATTAAAATTTGTATTCTTAATTTGGCGAAATAGGTAGCTTAAATTTGCAAAATAAAATAAAAACCCCGATAAAATTTCTTGTTTCTTGTCGGAGAGCTATGCAAGTAATTCTATTTTAAGATTGACTTGATTCAATAATTGGGGGTTTTACCTAGGACATTGGTTAAATTAAACAATTTCTTTATCTTTTTCCATTTAAATTGATACTTTTTACTAGTTTCTAATTCTGGCAAACTTTGCAAGGGCAATTTTTTTCAATTATTGGAGTACAATATTAGGTTGTAACAATAATGTTGTACAGTTAGTTTTAAGGAAGTGCCTCTCAAAGGTTCTTTTAACACGACTCAAACAGGAGAAAAAGAATAATTCGAATAAAAAACATAGTGGCTTCTAATTTTGAACAATATTTAGTTCAGTAATTCATTTTCCATCTTGAACTTATTTTTTTTTTTACAATTACCACAATAAAGAGAAAGGTAAACTTTTATTTGAGAGGAAGAAGTAAAATACATGACATCAACATGAAGAAAGCGCACAAGGAAGTCAACATAGAGCCCGAAAACTTTATTATACTCCATATTTATTAATTTAAATGACAGGATGAATAATCGAGACCTACAATTAGATATACAAAGTTAGATAGTGCATTTAGATACCAAAACCACGTGTCAGTGAGTCCAATTAGCAAAACAAAAGGCTGCAAATGGCTATATGTGCAATGGAATTTTAGTTGAGCCCACTTTTTCCAAAGGGGGTTGTGTTGCACTTCTTGGGAATCGGAAAGGAAATCAACGTTAGTGGTCCAGTGCATTTTTCCAAGAAGTAAGGGTGTTCAAAAAAATTCAAAAACCCGAACCAAACGAAAAACTAAATTAAACCGACAAAAAAAATCGATACTTTTTGATTTGGTTTGGTTTTGATTTTAAAATTTAAAAACCGATCAAATTTGGTTTGGTTTTGGTTTTAATTAAAAAAATCGAACCAAACCGAATATAAGAGTAGCTATTTTAAATTTATTATTACACCTATATATACGTATATTTTTATACAAAGTTTTAAAATTTTTATAGTAAATATTAATCGTTTGCACTTTTAGTATAGTTCTTTACCTTTACATTCTAGTTTAATTGGTAGTTTTCTTTTGTTAAGTGTAAGAATCTATTTCATGTTTAAAATAATAATATTTTTAATTGAGTCCTTAAATTATTCATCACTATTTGATTCAATTATCATCAATATATCTTGGTAAATAATATATTTCTCAAAGGGCAATTGATTTGATAGTGTTACGTTGAAAATGTGATCGTCGAAATGTGTGTTTGGTAGTGTATGTCTTATATTTAAGAAAAAACCGACAAATAACCAAAAAAATCGAAAAACCGACATAAACCGAATCGAGAAAAAACCGACATAATTGGTTTGGTTTGGTTCTAATATTTGAAAAACCGACTTACTTGGTTTGGTTTCATTTTAGGAAAAAACCGATCCAAACCGAACCATGAACACCCCTACCAAGAAGGGAAGGGTGAAATTAGATTTACAATTGGTCGTTGAAAAATAGCCACAATTTTAAACGTAATCGAAATTTAGATATTTTTTATATAAAGATAAATTTGAACAAAAATAATGTTCAAAATCCGGAAACTATTTCAGCATAATATACTGGAACTCCAGTATATTGTACTAAAGTTCTAGTATAATATACTGGACTGGTATAATATACTGGACTTCTAGCATATTATACTGTACTGGTGCAACATATTATGCTAGAAGTTCGTACACAGGTGCACAAATCTCCAGTATATTATGCTGGAACTTTTTGTGTTGCAGCAAAGTAATGGCTATTTTTCATTGACTTTACAAATGCTGGATATTTTTAAATTACCAGTCCGAAAACTGGCTAGACCATGCTATTTTGACAGAAGGGAAAGGTACGTACAAATCCTACAGGTACAACAACAGTAAAACATAGATAAACGCAAAATACCAAAAATACCCCATGATAAAACAGGCATATTGACCAAGAGTTGCTTGTATTTCCTCTTATTAAGAGGTAGTAATAAGTCAAATGAATATGCTAAATTTATTATCTCATTAAACCGTGTCACATAAAATGATAAAGGCATTGTTTACCGGTAAAATGGTACGGTTGAATTTATACATAATTTATAGATAAGTGAATCGATTTGATCCAAAAATAATAAATGAATAAGATAAAAATATAAGACTTAGCCTTGAAATTGAAATAAAATGACAGATATCTTAGTCCGAGGCGCAGAGCTTCCGGAGGCAGTAAAGACAATATAAATAAGCAAGAAAGTAAAATATTATTAAGCTTTTGATAGAATATGATGTATGCTTGTTTGAAAATTCGTCCCCTTACAATGATAATAGAGCTCACTATTTATAGTTACATCTAGGGAACAAGGTCCTAGAATAAAGCTCCTCTTAAATGACAATTATGAGAGCCATTGAAGAATATATAATGTTGGACACTGAATGCCATATTCTTTGTAACGGATCATGTACTTAATGCTATAGAATATTTTCCATTGAATGCTACCGGATGACAGACATTTATTTTACATTTATGAATATCATTCTTTCCGATGACAAGCGATATCATTGCCTTCGGGTCCGACTATATTCTGTCTTCGACTCCATGTGTTGCTTTCTCATGCGATCATTAAATATGAACATATTTACCCCATACAGATAATCTCCCGGCTTTCCGGTGGCGTAACTTTGTGTCACCGGAAAGTTGGTAGAGATACCTTTCTTGGCGGGAAATTCTCTGACCCCATCTGAAAAGTTTCTGACGGTTGATTAGACGCGCGTCTCTCCGCATTTAATGCCACGAACACGCGTCATCCCACGATTTAACATCACTTTTCCCGGTTATGATGGCCATGATTTTAGCCATCTATTCTTTTACTTATACGCATCAAACTTCTTCATTTACACTTCCTACTTCTCCAAACTTTCTCAATCTCTCTTTATTCAACTCGTACTTTGTCTTCAACATTTCTTCAACCTTCTTCTTCAGAGAAACTCTTCTTTCTTTTCTGATAAAAATGGCTTCTTTTTAAAAAACCTTAATTCCTCAAAGAACAAAGATAAAGCTCATGATGCTACTCCTCCTACGGTGAGCTCCATCATCCCAAGAAGTCTTGTCACAACTAAAGACTTCGAAGAGAAGTTTCCTTCCGCTAACCCATGTATGTGAGTCGTTGAATCCATCTTTCTTCTTCTGAAACAATACTGGTGCGCCGAAAGGTGCCTTTGATGGGCGAATGTGACTAGTATCCACCAATTCTTTCAATTGTTTCTTGAGCTCCTCTAGCTCGGGCGATGCCATATGATATGGGGCAAATGCGGGTGGCTTAGCCCCTGGCTCCAACTCAATCTTGTGATCCACCTCTCCCCTAGGCGGCAAGTGCTTAGGCAATTCCTCGGGCATGACATCTTTGTTTTCCTCAAGCAACTTCTCTATGCAAGGCGACAGTGTCTCTTGAAAACTCTTGTCTTCTTCTAGGCTTGCAATTGTTGCCATGAACGTCGGCTCCCTCTTCTTGATCCCCTTGAAAACTTGCATAGCTGAGAGATGTGCTTGGATCTGTCCGTGTGGCATAGTCACTGTAGGTACCATGCAAGCTCCTTCTCGCTCCATAACCAAGAGACGTTGGAGGTAGGGGTCGATCAAAGTATGACAATGTCTAAAGAACTATTGCCCCAGTATAATGTCAAAGATATCCATAGTGGTTACGGTAAAGTTTGTCATACCTTTCCAAGTTCCCAATTTGACACCAACTTCATTAGCTACCCCACGAGCATTTTGTACCTCGGCATTCACGGTCATGACGCGAGAGTTGGTAGGAGAAAGTTTCAATTCTAGTCTCTTTGCGACAACCTCAGTCATGAAATTATGAGTTGCTCCAGTATCCACCATTGCACGAGCGGGCTTGTTGTTGATGGTGAGATCCACGTACTGATTGCTATTCTCGGTAGATTGGATAGCTTGCTTTGTGACAGCACCACATAATTTGATCATACCCAACTGTGTGGTTCCCGAACTCTCTCCTTGTGGCTGCTCCTTCCATTCACAGACCATGGCACTGAGGCTCTTGAGGTCGGGACAATTCCTGAAGCCATGCGGCCCTCCGCATATGTAGCATCCCTTCTTCTCAGCATGTGCCTTCTTCTCGGCGTAGCCCTGACGACCACTCGACTTTTGGGATCTTGAGTCTTGGAGTATTGTTCTTGTATCTCCTTGCCTTTGCCACGGTCTCCCCTCACTTTGTCGTGCCTGAAGTAGTTCTCCAAGTGCCAAAAGAAGTTTTTCACTTCTTGTGCATCACGAACACCTTTGAACACCGGGGGTTTGGGAGCCTCGATCTTGGCCTCCCTCGTCACTACAACATTGATGACTGCCTCGGTCACACCAACATTGACATGCTCCTCGAGTGACTCTATATTTGCCTTCATAGCATCGATAGTACTCGAAGCCTCCATGAGTCTTCACTCTAAGGCAGTGATGGTTTGCCTTAGTTCCATCTCAGTCTGTGTACGTCCCTCCAAGTCATTTCGGATACTCTCAATTTCTTTAAGAGTATGGCCCTCAAGAACGTTAAGGGTGCCTTCCACCTTCCCCAAGCGTTGGCCAAAGATCTCCACGGCGTCCATCCCCACGTTCATCTTCATCACCCACTCTTTACCGAGCGAGACGTCCTCGGGCCGCTCTTGCCAGCAGCATCCTGGATGACGATGGCTTGGTATTGGCAGCGTTAATTTCTCCATCGTTCGTTATTCCCTTAGTTGAAACTTTCGCTCTGATACCACGTTGTCACATCCTTAGTTGATAACTAAGTACACGTGCGGCACTTGACAACTCGCTCACGATCTTGCACAACTTGCTCACGTTCTTGCTATGACAAGTCAGCCTTATTACACTCAAGATCGCCAAGAGAATGAAAGAAAGAACACAAGAGAATTGTTAAAGGAAGCTTTGTATTAGAGAGAACTTTAATTGTTTGCTTGGTGAATTACAAATGAATGGCCCTCTTTATATACTAGTCTCCTAGGGGCTAGTGTGTAAATATTAATTATTACACAAGTCCTTGATATTTACAAGATAAGGGTTTTCTCTAGAATTCTCTACAAGCCTAAAAGATTCCAAGGACTTTCCTAGCAAATCCATAAGGATTTAGGTTTTTTCCTAAGGAAATGTACATACTTCTCTAGAATCTTCTCACAAATGCTAGCCTTCTTCTTATGTAAGCTTCCACATGACATTAATATATGCCAAATGACGCCTATATGGCATGATAACATGGCGGGTCATCACAATTTTCTCTAATATTGTACGACTTCTACTCTTTTAAATGCAAATTTGCATTGAGTTCTTTATAAAGACAGTAAGCTAGGCCGACGCCGTGTTTTTGCCTAATCCACCTATGCATTTATTGAAGAAAAAAAAAATTACCTCTTCCTTTACAAATTTCTTCCAGGCTTTGGTAAATTGCAACGAACGTCTTTCTTTTCGTTTTCTGATAATTTTTTTTTTTTGGAGGTTTTTGAATCTTTCGCAAAAGCAAGAGCTCAAACGGTCTTTGATTAGTTCGCGTTTGCTTTACCTCATGTAGTTCATTAGTGCGTTATGATGATCAATTCTCATGTATTATCGAAGAAAGAACAAAGTAGTAGGTTGAGAAGAATCCAATCCATATAGCAAATTGTTGAATTTAATTAATTCTAAAAAGTTTGATCAGATAGGTTAACATTGGACGTAACCAAATTCTAAAAACAGGACCTTTGAGTGCGCTTTTAGACAGTGGCGGATTTACATGGTGGCAAGCGGTTTAAATGGTTGTTAGCTTCAAGTATTACCTAAGAGGTCTTAGGTTTGAACTCCCTTGGCTCCACAAAATATTTTTTGACTGTTACAACCCTTTTACTAGAAATAGTGACACCACTTATGAAAAATCTTGCGTACGCCACTGCTTTTAGAGTAACAGCTTGTTTGGATAATTGTTATGTATCGTTTTGTAGTATTGTTTTGATGCATACAATGTTTGGATGAATTGTATTATTTTCCGTCATTTCATGATGTCATGCACCAATAATATGAAGAATAAACTTGCAATATTATAAAGAAAAAGTAAGGTAAATAATAAAATAGAATTATTTAATAATATGAAAGAGCAAGATGAGAAAAAAAAAAAAGAACGATGCAACCGCACTAAATCGGTCGTTCCATAAAGTGGTACTTTTCGTCGTTACATAACGACAGATTTAATGATATGATACAATAAAATTTAAGTAACAATCAAAACAAATGTTATATTTAAAGTAACAATATGATACAATACAACAGGTGACAATTATCCAAACAAGATGTAAAATGAACAGGAAAAGATAAAGAAACAATGAACAAAGGGAGGGGAAAAATGAAAGAAAAAAGAAAAAAAGAAAAAAAAAAAAAAGAAAAGGTCCTACCGGGAGTCGAACCCAGGTCGCTGGATTCAAAGTCCAGAGTGCTAACCACTACACCATAGAACCATGTTTAAACAAGTCGCTAAAACTTAGATAGATACCATAATGAAGATTCTGCCAATTCACAGGAGAGAGAATCACGGGATCTTGGCAGTTAGAGGCACGCGTTTCTAGTCCCCCTCTGTTCATCTCAAAAGTCCGCTCTCTTTCCCTGTGATCTCTTCACTGATTAGCAACCCAAAGACGAAAACGAATCAGACTATTCAACTAGTTGATTTCCGATCGGAAAATGTCTCAAAATGTCAGTCCAAATCCGACTTACGACGTGATAATCTTAGGAGCTTCAGGTTTTACAGGCAAATACGTCATTAGAGAAGCTCTCAAATTCCTCAACGTTCCATCTTCCCCCTTAAAAAGCTTAGCTATAGCGGGCCGTAACAGTTCCAAACTTTTCCAGGCTCTCCAATGGGCAGCCCATCCAAAACCACCACCCCAAATTCCTATCCTCACCGCCGACACCACCGACCCATCTTCTCTCCGCCACCTCGCTTCTCAGGCTAAGATCATTCTTAATTGTGTCGGTCCATTTCGTCTATACGGTGAGCCCGTCGTTGAGGCCTGTGCTGATTCGGGTTGCGATTACTTGGATATTTGTGGGGAGCCCGAGTTTATGGAGAGGATGGAAGTGAAGTACCATGATAAGGCTGTGGATATGGGATCGTTGATTGTTTCGGCTTGTGGGTTTGATTCTGTGCCTGCTGAGTTGGGCTTGATGTTCAATTCAAGACAGTGGCTGCCGCCGGCTGTTCCTAATCAGGTTGAGGCGTACCTTAGTCTGGAATCGGACAAGAGAATTGTTGGAAACTTCGCGACGTATGAGTCAGCGGTGCTTGGTGTGGCTAACGCGGATAAATTACAGGAGCTCAGGCGCTCCAGGCCCAAGAGGCCTCGTCCTGCGGTAAGATTTATGATTTCATTTGCTTACTAAAATATCCAATGTAATGATGTCATCTGTGCTAGTTATCTAGTTACAGAGGTAAAATTTTAGTTTATTTAACCACCTTGGACTTCCAAGCATTATAGTAATAGAAAATTGAAGGGCTTGTTAGTCAACAACATAACATGACTGATACACTCGAGTCAAATGTCAACCGATGTGTATGACGATCTTTACAAATTGTTAGTGAAGTTGATAGGAAAGAATTTATGCATCCAACCCAAAAAGCTTTAAGTCTACGCGTGCAGTAGTCCTAGACTTTTATGAACTTTTTTGAAAGTGCACTGCTCATGTAGGACAAATATAACTTTACACCCTCTTTGTGAACTAGAAGGCGGGATTACGAGCATGTGAATGCACTTATCAAATGTTGACTCGATACCATGCGAAAGAATTTGAGCATCCAACACAAAACCTTAAGGCTATGGGTGGAGTAGCTCAAGATTTGTGTGAACCCCTTTTTAAAGACCTTACAGTACTCATGTGAGAAAATATAACCAACATTTATGTGTTAAATCATAAATTTAGATCTGGCTTGCCATACTTTAGGGGTTTCTGGCAACTTCTGCACAGGGGCGGAATTACCTTAGCCCAAGCGATGTCACGTGACACCGCTTTATCGAAATTTTTTACTAAATATGTATATATAATTAAAATGGAAAAATAAAAATGATGAAATTAATGTAAGGTGACACCGCATGACACTGAAGTTTGGTAGCTCATCTGGTCAAGCCATTCACTTTTTTTGATAGAAGTCACGGGTTCAAAACTAAGCAGCTTCACTTTATATCAAAAATTTTCTGCCTCGTCTACAAATAAAAATGTGTTGATGGGGTTTGATCTATTGTCCTCTAAGACGTTGAAAGAGCTTTTTTTATCCAATGTTAAAAGAACATTAATCCAATAGATCAAGAGTCCTATTTGGATAATCTTAGTAATAATAAATTACTTGACTTAGCTCTAAGTTGTTCGTGTTTTTTTTTTTTTTGGTTCTTTCTTCTATCATCTTCTTTCTCGACATGAAATTAATTAAGAATGATTTATATGGTATCAAACGATTGACATCACCTATATAAAATTGATTAAATTGTGACACCGCTTACAAAAATCTTGCGTACGCCACTGCATTCTTTGTAGGGGGAAATTTTAGGTAAATTTAAATGGTCGACTAGATAGCATGAATCAAATGAAATGGAAACAGTTGTACCGGAAGTGTGCTTTTAGCAGGCAATAATCCCTCTTTGATTTTAACCAGTTGACACTTAAATCTTGTATCATGGGACGATGGATTAATATAAAGTTGGATTGTAGATTGTTGTCTGTTCTTATGACCGAAAAACAGCTGGATTGTAATCTGTAAGTGGTATTAAAATTTGACTACTGCCATGAGAATCTCTAGTTTCATGCTTCGTGTTTTCTTTTCTGTTTTCTATCCTCTAATTGAGGCACGCACAGATAAACATCTACAACAAGTAGTTCCATCAGTCTACTTGCCACAGCCAACAACTATTTGATGCCGCACTACTATCTAGTCTTGTGGAGGGCCGATTAGGTGGCTGGGAGTGATGGTACATAGGCTGCAGAGAGGATGCTAATTTGAAAAATGATTTTGTCTTTTAAAAGATTGCATGAATAATGAGAAAAACTAGTGGAATTAGATCTGAATGCAGTGGAAATAATGCAGAGACCTAGAAACGATTATATTCTCTGCCCTGGGAAGGCTTGAAACAACAACATATGTCAAATCGTTGCATAACTTTTTATCTTCACTATTCTTTTGTTCTAAGAGAGAAATGCTGCAGGTTACGAAGCAATTGATCCTTTACAGTTTAGAAGTCAATTGGCCATTATGTGTTCGAACATGTGAATTTTAGTCAAAATCCAATGACAATTATATTAAGGTCGTTTTCCTCATTTGCAGAATGTTATACAAATGTATTTTACATTTGGAACTTTGAGAACCCAATTTAACTGTTTCTGTAGGACGCATGTTGTAGTTAATATTTGATGATGTTGATGAGTATATGGTAAGGATTCATAAACAACGGATAGCATAAATATGTGAATGATGGGGATTTATAAACCTTTTGGTTGATTTCTGGTGGCATAAATGAGTAGATGATGGGGATTCATAAACCTATGATCGATGTATATGACATGTTGAGTATGTAATACAGATTCATTGTTAAATGGACTCTATATATTTGATACCTGCAATATTTGCTAAATATTACATTGCACATGGACATACGTATGTACCACGCAGCTATGGGGACAACATCATTCATGCCTTCCCTATTAAATAACACATTAGATCTGCGAAACATTTTATCTTTCTCACTCTCCATTATTTTCCTGTTTGTCTCAGATTCCTGGTCCTCGTCCTCCTAAAGGTCCATTGCTGGACCACCTAAAGGAAGTTGGTGTTTGGGCTGTAAAGTTACCATCAGCAGATGCAATTGTAGTGCGGAGAACACTTTCATGTTTGGCTGAAAATCCTGGTGGTTTACCTGGTGTTAATGAAAGCACTGAACAGATTGAGAGGAGGGAGGCTTTTTGGTCAACCATAAAGCCAGCTCACTTTGGTGTGAAGATAGCTTCGAAATCTCTGTTAGGAGTTATTCGTTTCATTACAGTTGGGGTTTTCATTGGTCTCTTTGGTAAAACTGGTATCGGCAGATGGCTGCTCCTGAAATTCCCTTCATTGTTCAGTCTAGGATGGTTCAGGAAAAAAGGTCCAACTGAAGAAGAAGTGGCAAGTGCTACCTTTAAGATGTGGTTTGTTGGACATGGATTTAGTGACGACAGTCTTGCATCACAAGGAAACAGGAAACCCGATACGGAGATAATTACAAGAGTAATGGGACCTGAGATTGGTTATTTGACAACTCCTATCATTCTTGTCCAGTGTGCCCTCATTTTGCTCAAGGAACGAGATAATCTTCCAAAGGGAGGTGTTTTCCCCCCTGGGATTGTGTTTGGCGCGACAGACCTCCAAGACAGGCTTCAACAAAATGGAATATCTTTTGATGTCATTTCAAAGAACACTATCTAACTAAATGGTAGTTCCGTGCAGTTTTAGTCATATGGGAACATTTGAATTTATGCCAAAGGGCGAATAATTCTACAAATCTTTTGCTTTCTTTGTGTGTGCTCTTCTAATTGTATTTTCTGTAGTTTTATTATGCTCTCTGAATGCCCTAAGGTGTTTCCTCACCATTTTTCCTTCCAAAACTATCTCCAGAATCCCTCTCCATATTTCGTTTTCCTTCTTTAACGTTTTGAGGTAACTGGACAAGATTTATTTTGTTTTGACAATTTGTTGTGGTCTGTCAAATCCTATGAGTATTTTGGCTTTAACAACATACAAGTTCCATTTACCATAAGGTATACATCATTTTTCTTCTGATGGTGCAGATGCATCATTTTTCTTCTGCTTTTAACATTTCGATGAATTTCCTAAGCCTCTTCTCGGAGCTCCCTCCGATTTCCTTGGCCTTTCTGGCCTGATCCCTCACTTTCATAGCCTTAACCTTCATATCAACATCTCCCATCAAGCTTTTCACCATCTCTGCAATCTCCTCACCGTTTACTAGATTTTCCTCGCCCCAACCCCATTCTTTTACCCACCTCCCCAATCCCGACTTCTCCACAACTTCTGCATTCAATTTTTGATCACCATGTTGTGGCCATGCCAGCATTGGTACTCCTGACCAAGCTGCATTCATCACTGAATCCCATTCGCACTGGTTCACGAAAAGTCCAACAGCTGGATGTTCTATAATGGCTTCCTCATACTCCCCTGCTTTCCCTATTTTCCCTTTCTTTTCCATCTCCTCCAGGACTGTACTCCCAAACAACTCCAGAATCTCTTCTTTTAGCACCCAGAGAAACTTATATCCACATATCTCTAGTCCTTTTCTTATTTCTCTTAATTGTTGTGAAGAAATCGGCTCTCTAGTTCCAAAATTAACATAAACAACAGATTCAGCAGGTTGTTCATCTAACCATGGACACTGATTGTCTTCTCCTAGCTTGTTATTTCTCACAGGACCAACAGGAAAAACAAGTGGAAGAGAACTTGTGACTCTTCCTTCATCGAGGGCAACAATTGTTTCTGGTTCAAACCAATCAAAGGTGTTCATAAAAACACCTGTCACTTGAGGGAGAGCTCGAGCATTTGGCAGCAAGTAGGCTTTCAAGACATAGTTTGATGGTGAATCATCCAGCCATGAACGAGGGATGCTTGATTTTTGAACTGATCCTAAACCTGGGATCTCAACATTGCTCGAAACGTTTTCAAATGCAGTAGGATTTTTGGACAACAGTACTGGAAGGTATGCTACAGTAGAGTAAAATTTAGCTGATGTAGTTGAGATAATGTAAAGGGGAATGTTGAGATTAGAAGAAACTTGTGAAAGACTAGATGCAATAATAAACTCGGAGACAATAGCAGAAACTGGTTCATTCAAAGAATCTATCAGAGGGCAGAGCTGGTGAAGGGAGTTACTAATGGCATCAATTTGCTTGATGAAAGGATCATTAATCTTGGAAGTTGAGGTTTTCAGAGGAAAAATATGAAAATCTAGTTGCTTGATTTCAGGGTAACCGGAGAAAAAGCTGGAGACGATGCTCGATTTTGTAGTAGAGATTTCAAGTTTCATTGTGATGAAGGTGATTTTACATTTATGTGAAGCTAACATGGAAGCTAGTTGAAAAATTGGAACCATTTGACCCACTCCCAAACCACTAGGGAGAAACAATATGTGAACTGGCTTCCCAGAGTAAACACTTATGTTGCTCGAACTCTTCAAAACTGATGTAGGGTGCGTGTTGAATTCTCCAAAAGTTGTGCATTTTGTAAGGATCCGACACTGTTGCCGCAAAAAATTTGGAGAGTCTGAGCAAAATTGGTTGACACTAGAATTAGACATCTTGGTGGATTGGCTAGTGCAAAAGGAGGAATTGAAGAATGATTTCTGCAGAAATAGAGGGATTAGCTAGATGCTTTTATTAAAGAATAAGGCGCTGCTGCGATCATATTAGTGCACATCATTATCCTATTATTGTTTGGGATTCAGTAAAAAAAGAGAGAAGAAAAATAATTTAGTACAATTAGGTAATTGTTCGCTTTCATATGCTTGTTTTGTAGTTTGAGGAATAGGAAAAGGAATCAACTTTAGTATCTCCACCAGATCACAAAACAATGTCACGCTTCGGTTTGTGGCTCCTATTTTATCTTCTTCTTGTTTCTTGTTTGATTTATACATGGCGAATGTGAATGTTGTGCTTTATGGGCAGCCTAATCTTACCCTACAAACTCAGGGTAAAATTAGAAGTTTCAGGACGGATGTCTCGGAGTTCGAGGTAGAGGACGCTTCCCCTTAGTACTTACTACTAATAAATTACTCACTCCGGTTCACAATAAATGATGAATTTGCTTTAGGCATCCCTGTATAGGTCCAAATTTGGCAAAGGATAAACAAGACGTAGGACGGTGTCGACCACGACACAGCGACCGACGGTCGTTGTGATAAAGGCCGACGATCAAAAGCGGGCAGCTAAGATAAAGTAATAACGATAACTTGAACTTAGAGAGAGACATAAAGAATATATTCCTTCGGATATTCTCTGCGTTGTACTTTTTAAGATTTTTCGGGGAATGTCCCTTATAAATAGGAGGAGATAGTGAACACTTAGGAGATCTGCCTTTTTAAAAACTGAGAAACACATTGTAAAATTAAGAGAAGAATATACGAAAGATTGTCTTATTCACTTTACTCAAGTATATGTTATTCAACCTTCATCCATAAATCTCAAAGGTTCCACGTTCATATCAACTGCATATCCTTTTACGTCGTCAGCGTGAAAAGACACTCAATCACACAATCATTGAGTGACAGTTCCTTTACATTATTGTCATTTGTCATTTCTTGCATTCTTTGCACGTTTATGATATTGCGTATTCTGCCAACCTTAGTATATTGAACCCACTAATTAATACTCCTAAGCTCTTCTCACCATACGAGAATCTCGTCCTATTTTGGTTTGGAATTTATTGAGCTCAACTAAGATTAACTCCATTAATTTGTTATTAATTGGTTTAACATTTATTTGCCCAAACAACCCCATTAAGTAAATACTAAATTCTACACGAAAATAGTTAGTGTGACTAGACTACCCTTCATTAAATGTTGCACCATAGTTATAGTAGTACTTAACTTCTCTTCTCAAATGTGAGGAGAAAATGACTTTTTAGGGATACGTACATAAATGTAATTTTAGAAAAATAAATTGAACTTTTTCTTGATTATATAAATGAACACTTATTTTGGATTAAAATAAAAAATAAAAAATTGATCATTTATTATGAACAGAAAAAAATAGTAATTTAACGGGTCGCTCATCCAAACAAGGAAAAAAATCGTGTTCACCAACGGTTTCTAATTAAGACTTGAAAGGTCCAAGTTGCAGAATATATGCCTCGAACCGATAGTTTTCTGAAATCCGACAAATCCTTCATAATGTTTGTTTGGAGAAGACTGGACTTAATAATTCTACACCTAGAGGTCCAAGACTTGCTTGCATTTAGTATTGCCAAACCAGGGACGGCTCAACCACATTTAATTTGAGGCCTAAACTTTTAATGTAAAGTTATAATACATATTATTATTTGAATTCTAATCTTCTAACTTTTTGAGATACAAGTTGTTAATAAATGTTTTTTATAATCGATTTTCTCTAATTATTTCTTTTCAATTAATAATATAGTCAATTCATTTAATTTTTTTCTTGAGACATTGTTGATCTTAAATAAGATTTTATAGAGCAATAGAAGTAAGTAAATTTTAGAAAAAGAGGTGAGAAAGAATATCAAAGAGAAAGATAAAAAATATATATGGATTGAAAGATAAAAAATATATAGGAATTTCTAAAATATGAGAAGATTTTGGAGAAGAAAAAGATTAACTTGGACAAATTAAGGAAAAGAGAATAATTTTTTTTACACGTTATAATGCAGGGTAAAATGGAATTATCAAATCAACTCAAATTGATACATTGAAAAAACTATTCATCTACCCATTTATAAATAAGTCAAATTCTTACTTTATTTATATATCTAAAAAAAATTCTTTTATATGAAAAATTCTACTTTTGTATTAAAATCACTAGATGTTATTTGTTAAATATCTATAACCCAAGCCTTACTACTACCGATAAGGTAAAAATAGCACGGTATAGCCAATTTTCGGATTGATCATTCAAAAATAGACAGTGTTTCCCAAGTTAATGAAAAATAGCCATTATTTTGCTACAACAGAGATCGGTTCAGTATAATATACTGGAGCTCGGTGCACGTGTGTATGAACTCCAGCATATTATGCTGGACCGGTATATTTTGCTGGCTCCAGTATAATATACTGGAGCTCGGTGCACGTGTGTATGAACTCCAGCATATTATGCTGGACCGGTATATTTTGCTGGCTCCAGTATAATATACTGGAGACTGGAGCATCGGTGCTCCAAACTCCAGTATATTATGCTGGACCGATATACTTGTTGGAACTCCAGTATATTATGCTGGAGTTCTAGTGTACTTATGTTTGAACTCCATCATATTATGCTGGAACTCCAGCATACTTATCCTCTCCAGTATAATATGTTGGAGTTCAAGTATACTTATGCTGGAACTCCAGCATAATATACTGGCGTATTTTCCAGATTTTGAACAGTGTTTTCGCTCAAATTTATCTTTACATAAAAATTTACTAAATTTTGATTACTTTTGAAACTGGACTATTTTTGAACGATCAGTTGTAAATCTGGCTATTTTTGAATTTCTCCCGCCAATAAGTAAAGCCGGCCTTGTACCAAAGCTACTCGTTTTGGCACCTACAAGTGGTAGTTTGATTCGATGTGCGATGTACATTTTATTAGTCCAATAATTGGACTCCAATTTAAAGGTTTCAACTACCAGTATTTGGTTGATATTCATTAATTCCTTTCCATACTTTTCTATGCACTGTACCTCTTTCATTCAATAGGGGTTACTCCATCATAGATGATCCAAAATTTTGATTTGATGGTTTCGATCTATGAGGTTTTTAGCACTCATCTAGCATAGACTTGCCTCCACCTGTCCCGCATATAATATTGAAAAATAATTTTTGTTTTACTTGTTTTT